CAATGTGAAGCATCACTTCAGGGCACTCAATGGTGAGCTTATCAGTTTGTGATGAGATACTGTCATCCTAGAACAGATGAGGAAAACAGGCACAGAGAATGTTAGTAACAAGCCAATGAGGTCACAAGCTAGGAAGTAAGGAAGCAGAGATTAAAACCCAGGCAGCCGGCCTCCAGAGCTGGCACTCCTGTTACACTGGAATGCATTCTTTCAGTTCGGTGATTTGAATATGGAATATATTTGAAATATTGAAATGAGAAACTAGATCATAAAAAGGACTGGCAATAGGTAAACTATGTGCTTACGACTTGGGACTGCAGCCAATCAAAGACATCCCATTTGTGCAGATTTTGAAGACAGCTTTCCTGTTTTATTTTGGCAGGGGGTGAATCAAATTACCATGAATAGGATGTGTGCTTTTTTCGACTGAGAAGTTTGTCAAGAAAAGCTTTTTATGGAGTTATTTTTAGTCTTTTAAAAACGACATCTAAGGTGAAGTTATGTGTCTAAACTGGTTTACAGACAGGGAATGGAAATGGCCAGGCATAGTCATGCTATTAGAATCAAAACCAGGCAGTAAAGGTCTTCCTCCAGGTATCCATGTCCTGAAAGGTGAACTACCAGCTTGTGAAAAGAAACTAAAATCATTTAGATTCCTTCTGGGTGATTCAGAAGGCCAGTCAGGGATACGATAGAAGGCTTTCTATCAAAGGCCTTTTAGAAATACAAGAACAATGGGACTCCTGTGCTTACTAGAGTGTGGGATATAAAAGGTTAGGCAGAGCCCTGGATTCATGTGCTTATCTAATCTGGTTGATGCCCATGCATCTAGCTGCCAGGTATTTCACAGACCTTGGCCGATCCTCAGAGCCATGATCAGAGGCAGGCGAATTGGTTTCATTGAGGACTAGGCATGGCTGTGAGAACAGCAAATCAAAAGCAGCAGTGGTTTAGAACAACTGTGAAAAGGTGAAATCCAAAAAGGGAATCCAAAACTCAAGCAGCCCCACAGGCTGGAAATGTGCGTCGCCATCACCGCCTCAGGCTCCCTCAGTCCCAGGTGGCTGCTGGGACTGAAGGCTGCATGAAGATGAGGAAAGGGGTGGGGGGAGCAGGGATGAACCCATTTTAAGGAGCTTTCACTCAGTTCTCACATAACATGCTTAGGTCATCACCCAGAGTAAGTGATGTTTCGCCAGGCATTTGGGAGATGAAGATAAGCTGGTGAAGGAAGGGGAAAAGAGGACAAGATACTGGCAACTAACAGTCTCTGTGACACCACTGCAGAACTGAGGAAACCACATCGAGTGACTTGCTAATGTCTGTGAACTAGAAAGTAGAAAAAAAAAGTTAGAACCCAGATTGATGGATCTGCAAAGCCCAGAATCTGCAACCCAGCATATGGCCTTGAAAACAAGAAACCATTACTGAATATGGTGCAGTATCTTGCTATAAAGGGACAGTGCACATTATAAGTGCAGTAAGGGCAGGTACCATGTCTCCTACTGTATCTCTGCTTATAGTACATGAGTGTTAATATTGGTTGAATGGTTGAGAAAGGACGATGGTATGATAAATGAACTGGATAAAATCTTGGCAGTTAAAAGGTCTTAAGATTACAGTGGAGTAAATCTAAAAATGCCCTTACTATTCATGGTTACAGAAACAGGAGTGTTGCTGTTTTGAAGAATTTGATCCAGCAAACATTTACCCTGTGCTTAACATTGTAGAAGGTGGTTGGGATAGCAAGTAGACAAGATGTAGTCCCTGTCCTTAGGAAAATCACAATCTAGCCCGGCTGCAGTGGCTTGGTGGTTGAGCGTCGGCCCATGAACCAGGAGATCACAGTTGATTCCTGGTCAGGTCACATGCCCAGGTTGTGACCTGACCCCAATAGGGGGCATGCAGGAGGCAGCCGATCCATGATTCTCTTTCATCATCACTGATGTTTCTCTCTCTCCTTCTCTGAAATCAATAAAAAAAATATTTTTTAAAAAAGCACAGTCTAGGGCTTAAAGAAATCACTTGGTATGTCAGTTAGTATTGGGCTGGCCACTTTCTTGGGTCCTTTCTCTCCTGGCCGCCATATTCTTGAACTTTGGGCTGGCTACTCCCTTTTGTCACGTTCCTGGGGAAATGTTAGCCTACTAAGCCCTGATACTGTACAAATCACACCAGTCTCTCTGTGTGTGGATTACCAGTTTACTTTTAGACTACTGCCTGATTAGTCCTGCCTCCATTTGCTTACCTCTGCTTCTATACTGGGGAGAGATTATTTTTAAACGAATTACATCATGTCACTTGTCTTTTCTCACTAGTACTCAATCTATGCCAAGCACTGTATTCACCTCCCTACACACATTATCTCTTCTCAGTAATCTTTCCAAGGTAGTGTTCTCCCATTTTTTTTTACACGAGGATATGTGTTTTCAACAAAGTCCAAATGTGCTCTTTTCTGAGGTGAATCCAAGAGAGGTACCACTAACCACTGAGGCAACTTACTCATGGTTAGGTAAACAATGGATACAGTCTTTTGAGCCAGATGTTCAAGGATTTGCAAAAAATTAAAATGCTGCCACTCTTCTCACTAATTCATTTTTTTGTTCTGGAAAATATTTATATTTTTTGTTGGGAGCCAGCAGTTGAGGCAAGCAACTCAGTCTTAAGGAAATAGAATTAAGTTCCTTCTAGCAAAAGTTATGCGGTGCTCTGAGGGCTTGGCCAGAAGATAAGATTAACCTGGGGCTTAGCATCTTCCTGTCTTCCTGCCTCTTCCCCTTCCTGATCCTCCCCCCTAGATAGCCCAGCCTAGGAATGTTGCACCTTGGAAAGTCACACCACCCCTGGCAATTAGCCAATCCTGTGTTGCCAGATACCAAAGACCCCTCTGCATAAGCAACCCTGCCCCCCTTTGTTTCTGCTGTATAAATACAGCCATGTCAGAGAATAAAATTGAGGCTTGATCAGAACCTTGTCTTGCCTCCATTCTTTCGCGTTCCTAGTTTGTTCACTTAGGTGGTTCCTGCGTGCCCCCGTTGTTGCCCCTCGGGTCGGGACAATTTTTAATTAAAATAATATTTATGTTACCCAGCTGGTGTGGCTCAGTGGTTGGGTATTGACCTCTGAACCAGATCAAGGTTTGGATTCCTAATCAAGGACACATGCCCGGGTTGTGGGCCTGATACTCAGAAGGGGCATGCAGGAGGCAGCCAATCAATTATTCTCTCATCACTGACATTTCTCTCTCTCTCCCTCTCTGAAATCAATAAAAATATATTTTAAAAATATTTATTAATATGTAATATTTTTGAATAAATTTTTAAAAATATATTTTATTGATTTTTTACAGAGAGGAAAGGAGAGAGATAGAGAGCTAGAAACGCCAATGAGAGAGAAACATCGACCAGCTGCCTCTTGCACACCCCCCGACCGGGGATGTGCCTGCAACCAAGGTACATGCCCTTGACCGAAATCAAACCCGGGACCTTTCAGTCCGCAGACTGACGCTCTACCACTGAGCCAAACCGGTTTCTGCTGAATAAAATTTTTAATTCTCAATTTTAGTTGGTAAATATTTTACCTATTCTCAATTTGAATAGGTAACTACTGGCCAACATAATCCATATAAACAAAAGCATTTGGAGTCCCCAATAAAATTTTGGAATGTAAAGAAAAGGATCCTGAGACCCAAAAAGTATGAGAACTGCTGAAGTAGACTATTTCCCTCCGGGAATTCTATTTTTGTCCATTCAATCAACAAATACTTATTATGTCTATTTTATGCTAGAGAGAGTTCTAGGTGTTCGGAATACGTGAAAATAGGCAGGCCCTGATTGCATGGCGCTTGCATTCCAGTTGGTGTATTTGTGTAAGGCAACTTAGTCAATGAAGAAGAAAACAGGTGATTGCAGATGATGTTTAAATTGTGAAGAAAGATAAACGGTAAAGTGTCTGAGTGTGTGGGTGTAAGACTGAGGCTAGGAAGATGACCTCTGACCCCAGGCTGATTGGCAAAGGGAAGCGCCTACTTTTTCTCTGACCATTTCTGCCCTGCCTCACTCCCGCTGGCCCTGCTGGCTTTTCTGTGGTTCCTTAAATATGCCAGGCAGGCTCCTTCTTCAGGGACCCCTCTTCTTGAAAGTTTCCTGGCTGAATTTTCTCTCCAGTCACGTCAGTCCACTTCTCCCTGGAGAGGTCTCTTCCAACCACCTCTCTCAAATCCATCACCAGCCGCCTCCCGACCAGGATACATGTTTTGCCTCAGCATTTATCTCTACATAATATTGCTACATATACGTGTTTATTTGTGTCTCCCCCCACACACACACACAAAAACAACAGTAAACCCCCCAAGGGCAGAGACTTGGGGTGATCGCTATCACACGCAGACTAGGACATGGAGGGCTCCATAAATGTGTTGTCTGACCTCATGCATAACTAAAATTAAACAATAAAAACATATTTACCTTCCGAAAAAAATAAGTCAACAGCTCTTAAAAGCGAGTTATTAAATTATAGCACACTGACTTCCTCTCTGATGTAACAGTAATTATCTAACGGAGCAGTCCCAGGCTCGCAGACAGGGAACCTCACCAATGTTGGTCATTTCGTTACCTGTCTCTCTCCTCAGAAAGAACCGTCCGCACGATATCCACGGCGGCTGGCTTCGTAGCTGGTGCACAGGAAGCTCCCAGGAAATGTCTGTGGGAGGAATGGCACCTCCAGCAGCCGGCAGCGGGTACACGGAGCCCCAAGACTCTCGGCCAAACTCACTCCGAGCGTTCAGGGCAAAGCCCGGCCCCGCGAATTTATTCTCCTCTCCACACAACTGTGCCAAATGCCCTCAATTCTCCAGAAAAAGAAAAAAAGAAAAAGAAGGAGGAGACCAAACCCCAAACAGCTGGTCTCCCTGACGCCCACGGACCACCGCGGGCGCAGGGAACTACCACGTGATCGGCGGCGTCACGTGATCGGCGGACCAGCCGCCGCGCAGGCGCAGTAGACACCTTCCTGCCATTTCAGCGATGGCGGCGCCGCTGGGAGGCATGTTCTCCGGGCAGCCCCCCGGCGCCCCGCCCCCGCCGCCGGGGCTCCCGGGCCAGGCTTCGCTTCTTCAGGCCGCGCCGGGGGCCCCGAGGTCTTCTCCGAGTACCCTGGTGGATGAGCTGGAGTCGTCTTTCGAGGTAAAAAAGGAGACGCGGGGGCAGAGGGGCGCCTGCGTTCCCATCCTCCCTCCAGGCCGGACGTGTAAGCTGCGCATGCGCACGTTATCCCGGCGGCGATGCCCGCAGCCCGCTACCCACGGGGACGCAGTCTCACAGGCTAAGTCACTGGCTGTGGTCCCCACCGGGAGCGGTGGCCATGTTCCACTCCGGGCTGCTGGCGGAGACGCGTCAACAGACGGTTCCGGTGGCACGTAGGCTTGAAGTTTGCCCATCATCCCGCACTGTAGGGCCCCCTTCCAGGTTCCCGCCCACCGATCCCGTCCCACCCGGTTCCTTCTCCCTGGAGCGACCCTCCCCGCACCCCTGCGTGTTTAGTACGGGGGGGGGGAGGGGGGCGTTACGTTACGCCGGCCCCGTCCTGCGCCTCTCCAGCCGGGCACCCCCGCGCAGCGATGCTGCAGTAATGGGACCCCTGGAACCGGAAATGGACTCCCCGAAAGGTGTGCGGGACTCCATACGAGGGTCAAGGAAGGAGGGACCCTGGCAGAGATGACCCCAAACGGGAGTTTGGCCCAAGGAGGACCCTGGAGCCCCAAATCCAATAGGAGTCATCATTCAAAATGTCCCACAGAAAGGGGAGTCTTTTTCTGATTACGGTTACAGGGATTTGCCTGAAGGAATATTGTGATTTTTCTATATTAAGTCAAATGGTGAGCCGAGACCATTTGGCTCAGTGGATAGAGCGGACTGAAAGGTCCCAGGTTCGATTCAGATCAAGGGCAGGCACATCCCCTGTGGGGGGTGTGCAGGAGGCAGCTGATTGATGCCTCTTTCTCATCGATGTTTCTAACTCTATCCCTCTACCTTTCTCTCTGTAAAAAAAAAAAAAAAAAATCAATTAAGAAATATATTTAAAAAAATCAAATGGTGGCAATGGCAGGCAGAAGGGCCCTCCCATCTCGTCAGTGGCCTAAGCCTGGGCCCAGGTCTGCCTCATTCCAAGGGCGTTTGCTTCGTGCTGGCAGGCTCTGCTCTCCTGAGGTTGGAGGGATCCTCTCGGACCCCTGGGCCCCCCACCTCCCGTCCTGTTCTCTTTCTGGCCCTGCTGCTGTGTTAGGCCTTCTAAGGTCATAGCACTGCCTGGCCGAGTCACACACCCCTGGGTCAGTCACACGCCGCCTGATCCTCTTGCTCTTCTTCCCTGGGTCTAACAGAATCAGTCAGTTTACTACCTGGCTTCATTGGCATCATTGGTCCCTTTAGGGAGAACTCCCTCTTTGGGACTTGTTTTCCCACCTGACACCAACCTGGTTCTTCTCTTGCGCCCTCCAGCCCGTCATTAGCTGTGTTTGTGGAGTGCCCACTTTGTGCCAAGCGGAATTCCTGTCCTGGACACGTAGTGAACAAGGCGGACCTCCCACCCACTAGGGGGCAGCTGATAATGGACTAAAAGCATGGACCAATGTCAGCGAAAAAACAGCACTGGGTGACAGAGGGCACCCAGGAGGGATGGCACTTCAAAAGAGGAGAGGGAGAGGGTCTCTCTGAGGAGGGGGCGGTTTGCCTGCGTCCTGAATGGGTGGTGCACGTCATGTGAGCATGGGAGGGAGCCGCTGAGGGTAGGACTGGATTAGGGTTCTGGCCCTGGTGTGGAATGAGATAATGGGGAGAGGAGCGCGTGGCAGGAGAGGGAGCAGATGGGGTGCTGACAGATTCCAGCCGCCCGATCCTCTGGCTCTAATTCGGTGGGTCTAACGGAGTCAGTCAGTTTACTACATGTCTTCATTGGCATCATTGATGTCTTGTCAGGTGTGCAAACCATGTGCTATCAACTCATTGAATGACTTCAGGGGAGCCGTATCTTACCCTAAAATAGGATTTTTGATGTGTGAATGACTTTTTTTTTTTTTTTTCTTTTGTGACATGTTTTGGCCACACAGGCTTGCTTTGCTTCTCTGGTGAGTCAGGACTACGTCAATGGCACGGATCAGGAGGAAATTCGGACTGGTAAGCATTCCCTCTTTTTAGACCTGGTCCTGATGGCTGATTTTACACTTGATGTGTTCCGGTCCTGCTGGTACCCTCAGAGAACTTCTCTGGGGAAGAAGATTTTATGCAAATGGTTCGTATACTGCTGGTTCTCTGTTCAGTTTATTAATTGACATCTTGTGTCATTCATGGTGAATTTTTCATAGCGGCATTAGGACCAAGACCAATAGTGTGTACTGCTGTATGTCAGTTTTGTTTAGTTTTTGAATAGGTGGAAGTATTTTAACAGCCTCTTGTGCTTCCTCCTCCCTGCCCAAGATCTGCCCTCAGAGGTGACCAGTGGTTCTGGTTTCTTTGTACAATATTTTAAATGTTACTTTTTAACTGGAATCATGCTTCTTGCTGGAACTCTGGATTGTTTTTCTTCAGAAGTGTGCTGTAGCAGGTCTCTTATTCACCTGATAAAAGTATAAATTTATCTACTATCTATTGTTGGCTAACATATGGAAAGCTGGGGGTCAATATCATTGCTATGGCCGAATTTAAAATCCCAGATTATATCTATGAGAAGGTGATGTTTTGACATTCTGACTGTATATATGTGGGAGATTTTTATGTCGAATATTTTTCTTGATTTGATATTTTGTGTGTTTCTTTAAGGTGTTGACCAGTGTATCCAGAAATTTCTGGATATTGCAAGACAAACAGAATGCTTTTTTCTACAAAAAAGATTGCAGTTATCTGTCCAAAAGCCCGAGCAGGTTATCAAAGAGGTATGAGCTCCGTTATCTCAGCTGTAGGAAGAGCAGTGTTGTCAGGGTCCCGTCTCTGCTTTAAATGGGAATCCTTTTTAGGGTTTCCTATAGTAGGGCTTTACAGACTGGGTACGAATGTTGCGAGCTGTCAACGTTCATGACAACCTGGATAGTAGTAGAGGAGAGGGGTGGGGGAATCAGGGCTTCAAACAGATTTCCATATGCTCGCTGTCATGGAAGATGTTTCTTAAAGGAAAGTTACCGCTGCTTGAAAAAGGTTGAAAAGCCGGTCATGGAACTCACGTTGGACAAGAGCTGCGATTTGTGCCTCCCCAGCTGCCTTACCCAGTGCCTGTACACAGGAAGGGCTTTGTCAGCGAACCCAGAATTAGTGTCCGGCCCGGGCTCCTCCAGGCTCAGGACTTAGTATCATCCCAGTCATGTGAAGTGGGCATTTGCAGTGTGTGGGGGCTGCCAGGCTGACTGAGAGCTGCCGCGGCGTTTCCTGTGTTGGGCCTGGGCCTGGACCTGCCCCTGCAGTGTGAAGAGGGAAGAATCGTCCGCCCAAACGGCCAGCGGTGCCTCTTACGAGAAACACTAAATTGAGATGGACGTTTTGTGGGCAGTGTTTGAAGTAACTGCTTCCACAAGCTGACCAGTTAGAATATTTTTATTCAGTGATTTCCCGGTTGAGAAGGTGAATGGTGAGGTGATACTCTCATAGTTCATTACATCAGATCAGTTCCTGATTTGAATACTTCACTAGTAACATAGGGGCGTTCAAGGCCAGGTCTTTTTCTTTTCTTTTTTTTTTAATTTTGTATTGGTTTCAGAGAAGAAGGGAGCAGGAGAGAGAGATAGAAACATCCATGATGAGAGAGAATCATGAATCGGCTGCCTCCTGCAAGTCCCCCACTGAGGATCGAGCCCACAACCTTGGCATGTGCCCTTGACCAGAATCAAACCCCGGGACCTTTCAATTCACAGGCTGACGCTCCATCCACTGAGCTAACCAGGCCAGGGCATCAAGGCCAGGTCTTGATAAAGAATTACAATGCTAGTATTCTTTAGAAAAACTCTTGAAAATGAAATGCTAACACTTCATAATATGAAATGTTAGAACAGCGATTGTGGACTCTCTTAAATAGTTGTTATCATGTGTTTCAGATGCTCACTGTTTTTTAGGTTCTCAGCAGTAGCCTTTGGACAGAGATATTGAATGCCTGGGACTAGGGTGGGAAAGAGACTGATTTCTTTTTGGCTGCTCTTTGATACTTTGGAATATTATAACTTGGGAATTACTTACTAAAAGAAAATGGATTAAAAATAAAAACTTTCCATGTTAGGCAGACATTTGCCATTGGAAGAGTTGCTTTGGGTTATTCAAATAGTGGAGCCAAGCAGCGTAATGATTGGGCTTGGTGTGGTTTAACGGATTTCCTTGGTCTTGATTTCACTTCCTAGTGCTCTTAATTGTTCAGGAACTGCATTTGCTTCTCACGGGGCTGCTCTGACTTGGTCCCTTCACTTGCAGGACGTGTCGGAGCTGCGGAACGAGCTGCAGCGGAAAGACGCGCTGGTGCAGAAGCACCTGACCAAGCTGCGGCACTGGCAGCAGGTGCTGGAGGACATCAACGGGCAGCACAAGAAGCCCGCCGACCTCCCGCAGGGCTCCCTGGCCTACCTCGAGCAGGCGTCCGCCAACATCCCCGCGCCCATGAAGCAGAACTGAGGAAGGCCGCAGGGAAGGGTCTCTTCTCGCTTCTCGGTGGCGTGACATTCGGGAACTCTGCCAGAGAACGAGATGATCTTAGCTGCATGCTCCCACCTAAAATGTTCCCCGTTTTCTATAAGCTCTTATTTTATTACTTTATACAATGTGCATTGCTTTGATAAACCAAGTAAATATTCTTGTTTCTAGCAAAATTTAGACTGTTAGTGTGATGCCACTAACATTGCTTTTTATGTTTGTTTGGGTTTTTTTTTTTTTTTTGCTTATTTTTTATGTTTGTGTAACTTTTAATCTGTTTGTGTTTCCAGTTTTAGACTATTTTGAATCATGAGGGGAAAACTCTTATAGACTTTTATCTTAATTAACCCCCCGTGGCAGTAGGTAAAAATATGTAAATTTGCCACGTTTCTAGACTTTGAACTACCTCAAGAAGAGGAATCTAATGCAGCAACGTTTGTAATGCGTCTTTTGTAAATACTCGGAAGAGGATTGTCATAGCCTAGCTTAGTGCATTGGTAATACAGAAGGATCGTTAAGTTGATGTTGACTTTTGTTTGTGGTAAGTTTGTATTTTGTGTGATGTTTGTTTACTGTTTGGGAGGCTGCAGGAGGAGAGTGACGTAAATTTTGTCCCATTCTGCAGTGAAGAATCAGTCTCAATAGCAGACCCTGTTCCCACTAGCACGATGGGCAGAGGTGAGGTGTGAGGGTTAGTCTCTCTTTGCTTTGTTTGTGTTGTTTATGTTTTGCTTTTGTGGAGCAGAAATTTTCCATTAAGGAAGGTTCTTGGGAATGGGTGGTGTCGATTCCAGGGGGCGGGCCTCGGGGTGACTGACCCTAGGTGACTTACTCTCCACAAAGAGCCTTACCCTCTCGGTGGTCACACAGGCCAACACGATTCTTTTTTTTTTAATATATATTTTATTGATTTTTTACAGAGGAAGAGAGGGATAGAGAGTTAGAAACATCGATGAGAGAGAATCATCGATCAGCTGCCTCTTGCATACCATACCCCCTACTGGGGATGTGCCTGCAACCAAGGTACATGCCCTTGCCCGGAATCGAACCCGGGACCTTTCAGTCCACAGGGTGCCGCTCTATTCTCTGAGCCAAACCGGTTTCTGCCCAACACGGTTCTTGATGGATCTGCTGCTGCTGGGAAATAGAGACGGGCGCTGTGTCTGCCTGTCCCTGAACGAGCTTTCCTTTCTGGGATGTTTAGTCTCTGGCTAGCTTACATCCCTTTACTCCAGACAAGCGCCACTGAAGAGGCAGTGCCTCTGGGGCTCGATTTCTTGACTTGTTTCTCCAGCCTTGAAGGCCCCTTCCCATAGGCACTGTCAGTGGTGCCTGAATGCTCCCTCAAGCCTCCAAATGCCCTCCCTGCTGCCTCCCCTCCCCCCGGGACTCAGCACTTCCTGTCTATCAGCCTTGCTTGGTGCTCATTTGAGGGTTAGTAATTTGTATGTGTGTCTGCTCCTCATGAGAATTAGGCTATTTTCCTCTGAACATACAGAGATCATGTATTATGCGTCTCTTGTACATAGTACTTATTACCCATTATTGTTTGTGCATGTATGGTATACAGCTTGAGGCCACTTAGTCGCCTCACTGAACATGTGTGAGTTAAAGCTTTAAGTTTTGTTTTTGTTTTTTCTCAGATAACATGATTTCAGGGTTGTTAACCTGGCCATCTCATACTGATTAGAAGCTCTGATTGGCAGCTTTGGATTTCTCCATTAAAAACTCAAACTGATTTAGGCATCTTTCAATAATAAAGGGGTTCTTGGTGAAAAGTTCAGGAACTGTCCTTGGTGCTTAGTGAAAAGACTTCGAATTAATGTATGTATCAGTTATTGCCATTTTTTTATTAAATTCAAAAAAATTCTAGCAAATAAATAATTTTTCAATCTTGTCTGTTTGTAAATATCATTTTCCTTTTAACGATATCTTGCTGGTTGGTTGATGATCATAGAAATCCCTCCTTCAATGAGAAATGAGCATTCAGCTGGGAGTTCCCTTGTCTCCTCACTCCCATGATGATAGAAGCATGCAAAGACTTAGTTAACACATGTGTAATGTGTTAGAAATTGTGTGTTAGATCTAGAAATTGAACAAGATCTTTCACTCACCTGCAATAAGAAAGGAGTCCAAACAGGTGCAGAGTCTTGAGTACAATCCTGTCCCTACAGCAGGTGCACTGAGGTAGGGGACAGCAGAATGAAGGAAGCCTGCTCTGCTAGTCAGGAGCTGCAGGGTGGTGGGGAAATATTTCAGTCAACAAAAGTAGAACTGTGTGCAGTGTTTAAAACAAGATACAAAATCCTACAGTGCTCACTAAGCAGGAAGCAAAAGACAGCTACAAAATACTTGATACTGAAAAATAATACAGCATGTCACAGGTATGGTAACAAGTATTAGCAGTTAAATTATCGGGGCCATGTGTTTTGATAGTAAATTCACCTTTAAATCCGATTGAGGTCAATGTGAACTTTCCATTTCCAAGTTCAGTCTTCATCAAATTACACCCTTCTTTTGGAAAATCAATACAAGTCACACCATTTTTATTGCACAGTTGTTTAAAGTTTTATTCAAAGAGCAAAGATTTGACAGTGCATAGAATAAACAACTGTTCATGGGCCAGCACCAGAGGATTGAGAATACGTTTTTCCCATTAAAATATTAACGTTTTGTCAAATCACACTGCTTCGTCAGAGGGTCCAACAGCTCAGTGTGGCCTGAGCAAGGTCAGCACCATGGATGGCACTTGTCCCCTGTAACCTACCAAGCATCCATGCAACGGGGAAGCAATGCATCATGAGGCAAATGGCCCAAACCCAGAGACCAGAGGTTCAGTAGATCTTTGACTTGGAAGAACGGATAATCTAGAAACCTTCACAAATGGCCAAGTTGACATTGCAGACTGAAACGGAGGTATGACGGGGCGGGGCTCAATTATCCACAAATCCTGGCAGTGCTTAATTTGAATTTGTGATTGGCATCATTGCCATATGTTGCTTAGTCCTCTTAAAGCCCCATTTTGAGGTAGGTGTTATCCCCTCTATTAACTGCGTCATGTCCAGATTTAGGAAGTCCAAGTTGTCAAGGTCTTTGGCTGTTCAGTCCTAGTAGCTTCCATTTGCTTGTTTGGTGTATAAGTTGGCTTTCCTGGTGATTTGGAACTTTGTTTTATTCCTCTTCTTCATGAGGTTAGAGGTGCATCTTACATTATATCACTGACTTAGAAACACTTTTCAAGAGGATTTGAGTTGCATCCTGGAAAATGAAATCCCTTTCAAAGTAGACTGCAGAAACCACAAAGCAGAGCGCAATCTTTGGACACAAAATTCTACAGGCAGGTCATGAGTGACATCAACAACGTTTTCCTATGATGTTTTCGGGTTAACACGGGTTCCTTTTACCCTCACGTCAAGGATTTGCAATGAACGGTGCCACAGTGAAACAGTATGAAATGTCAGTGCTGAAATGCGTTTAGCTATTGGATGCAAATCAAATGACAACACAGGTTATTTGGTTGATTGGTTTTGTAGTTCATTCCCTCAGTCAGATGTTTTAAAAGAAATGTTTTCCCAATGTCCTTTCTGGGATGGACCCCAAGGGTCACTTCAGAAAGAGAAGTACTTGGTGAACCACTCCTGGTGGGCACAGCTCTGTTTCTGCTGGGCTTCTTTGGGTTGCGCTGTTTCACCATCTTCTGTCCTGAACAAAAAACAACAACGAAAAGGATTAGATGGTTTTGAAAATTACTCAGAAAACATCTTAATACCCCACCATCTTTTCTGCTTCTTGACTCTTAAAAGTGCTGGAATGTGACTGGCCAACATTAGCCTCTGGAAACCAGTTGTGAAGGACAGAGGTGAAGGGAATGTCTAATTCCTGATTTGAAAACCAAACGTTCTCCGTTGTTTCACTTAAGATCATGAGGCATATTTGTAACATTTATTCCAGGCACAAATATAATATATACAAATCCTATCTGATAAAAGAGTAACATGCAAATTAACCGTCACTCTGCTATACTCACCAGCCACACCCACCAGCCACGCCCACCAGCCAATTAAAAAGCAAGTATGCAAATTAACCCCAACCAAGATGGCTACGGCCACAGAGAGCAGGAGGGAGGCTTGGGTTTCCCTGGAATGGAGGAAGCCAAGCTTTCTGCACACCCTTGCTGGTGGAGGCTTCCACTCAAGGGTACAAAGTTTCAATTATACCGTTTCCCCAAAAATAAGACAGTGTCTTATATTAATTTTTGCTCCCAAAGATGCGCTACGTGTTATTTTCAGGGGATGTCTTATTTTTCCATGAAGAAGAATACGGTACACATTTATTGTTAAATGAAAATAAAGGAAATTTATTACCTGTATACGGTACGGTAGTACGGTAGTTGTCAACACAAACCAGACAAACTGTGAATCCTACAGTATCAAGAATTTACTCATTTATTCAATGACAATCATGTCATCATCTTCTGGAACATCATCATAACAATCCAATTTCTGGTGAATTTCTTGTGACTCCTGGGGGGGGGGGGCTTATTTTTTGGGGGGATGCCTTATATTTCACTCAGAAGGAAACCTGTAAGTAGGTCTTATTTTCGGGGAAACACGGTAGAAGGTAAATAAATTCTAACAGAAATGAAGGTAGGCCCTGAGCTGGAAGAGGAGGAGTCTAGGGTTTCCCCGGGTGATGGAGAAAGCCAAGCTTCTGCAGCCCTGGTGGGCCTAGGCCTCCACTCCAGGCTATAAAGCTTCAATTATAGAAGACACACAAATTCCAACAGAAATGGCTGCCACCACAGAGCGAGCATGAGGCTTGGCTCCACTCCAGGCTACAAAGTTTCAGTTGTAGAAGACAAATAAATAAATTGCCACAAGGTAGGCAGGGCCTTAGGAAAAGGAACATTTTAGGAGTGGCCCTTTCTGAAATGCAAACTTCTAAGCCCAGAATTAAAAATGTTGCCTCTGAATGAATTCAATGCCTCTTGTCTAACCATGAAAAAAAGGGGGCAGGAGGATAGGGCTTCCTGGAATGTGGTACCGGGAATAGTCCCTCTTCTGAAGAATGGCACATTTCTCTGCTCTTAGACAGCCTTCCGTTTGCGGGACTGGGTTTTCCCAGGCAGGGCTTGACCTGCTGCTCTTTGTATCTGTCCTGATATTTGTATCTGTCCCGATTGCACAGGTGCCAGAACGGAATTCCAGTTCCCCTCCTGTTATGGGAAAAGGAATCACAGCGCCTGCCCCTACCTGGTGGCCGCCTTCACATCTAGAGGCTGGGTGGGCTTGTAAGGCCGGCCGCCCCCGGGGCTTGGGTCCAAGCTGGGGGACTTGGTGATTGGCGGGGCGCTGATCCTGGAGCTCAGGTCCCCGCTCAGAAAGTTCTTCGCGTAGGAGGCGAGGTTGGGCACGCTGACCACTCGGCTGGGCACGTCCTCCATCTTCTTTTTCTGTTCGTGTTAAAGGACAGGCCTCTTAGCATCGGGCCAAACAGGTGTTATTATGGAAGTAAGTAAGACCCACCCAGCCCTAACAGGTTTGCTCAGTGGATAAGAGCGTCGGCCTGTGGACTGAAGGGCCCCAGGTTCGATTCCAGTCAAGGCATGTACCTTGGTTGCGGGGACATCCCCAGTAGGAGGTGTGCAGGAGGCAACTGATTGATGTTTCTCTCTCATGAATGTTTCTAGCTCTCTATCCCTCTCCCTTCCTCTCTGTAAAAAAAGTAAGACCCACCCAACCAAAACCATGCCATGAGGACGCAGTACTTTTATTTACATACTTCCATATTATTTTTCAAAGCATTTTCCCCTCTAATCTACTTTGTGTTTAAAAAAACAAACAAACACACATGTCCACAATCTCTTATCTGAAATTCCTGGGGACAGATGTGTAATTCAAAGACCTTTGTTTCTATTCTAAAAGGCCACATAACACCCCCAGCAGGGGCTGGACCCATCTTGTCCTCAAATGCATGACTATTTCTGAAGTGAAACTTATATTTTGTCACAGTAAGAAGGATATATAAAAATCATAAGTGATCTTATATCAGTTCAGCTGAGATTAGGTTTACTGTTCTGCAAGCTATTAAAAATATGTTTTTGAGTTTTTAGGATTTGTGATAGCAAATGAGAGAGTTGGTGAATATTCTTACTGTAACAAACTCCATAAGTATATAAGGAAAAAAATGTTAAAAAGTGGAGGATTCCTGCTCTTCTCACCCTTCTTCCTACCACCAATTATTGATAGAACCACTATTAATAGTGACACATTTATTTACAGAAATTTTAGAAAAGACAAAAAACACCATGAAAAATAAAAATACATATTGTCTTTCTAGCTAGCTATGAACACTGTTTAAGCACGGGTTATTTTCGGTGGGTCTTAGAGAGCATCCTTTTGACTGTCTCTCGGTCGTTGGTAAATCCGCTGCAGGTGCCTTAGGAAAATGAAACCAGCAGATGGTGCCATGTACCAGAACCAGCAGAACCGACCTACCTTCGTGGAAGGGGTCAAATACCCTGGGTGAGGGCTGAAAGAGAAGGACCGATTCCGATGGGACATGGCGCTGGGGAATGCTGCGTAGTGAAATCTCCTCTCCTCCTGGCAAAACAGCACAACTGCGTCTCAACGAGCCTAACCACACGGCACCCGCACCCGGTGGCTGTGTGAGGGTGGGGACAGAGAGAAGGACATCCTGGGGAGGGGAGGGGAGCCAGGGGGAACCCAGCTGCCAGCCAGGGAAGCTGAGAGGAAGCACCTTTACTCCTGGAGTCTCTGTGTCCCCCTCCCCTCTCCTAAAGCAATGGGCCAGCTTATTGGGAATGCCTTGCAGTGTTTCCCAAAGTGTGGTATGCGTACCCCCCGGGGTACGGGAAGAGTTTGGTGGGGGTATGCACTGCACCGTGCTTAGCTGCACCTAATTCTATGATACGTCCTCATGAGTACGAGGGGTGCTCAGCGTTACGAAAATTATAGAAGGGGTTCACATATGTCAAAAGTTTGGGAAACACTGCCTTAAGGTAAGGTGACCAGACCATCCAGGTGTTGGCGGGACAGTCCTGATTTCTAACAATTTTTCCCCTGCCCCGCGGAGTTTTTAAAAAGTCCCGATTTTTTGAAAGATTGGAAACATTGGAAAGATTCTTTCCAAAAATCGAGACTTTTTTAAAACGCCGCAGGACGCAGGAAAAATTGTTAGAAATCAGGACTGTCCCGCCAACACCTGGACAATCTAGTCAACTTACTTGGGGAAGTTAGAGATCCAGGTGCTCCCAGCATCTGAGAAGGGCACTGAGGACAGTTAACAATTAAGGTGCAGAAAGTTAATAAGGAGGCAAAGCAAGCAGACCCTCAGGTGCAGTCCCTATCTGGCTAACGTTGTTAATGTGTGCCACTTTTTCTTGCCTTCTGCATTATCCT